ACCATGGTTGAATCTGTTTAATTGAAGGAGTCAATTTTTAAGAGATCGGTCAATGATATTGCTATAGCTGCATAATTCTTGACAAAACGCCTATAATAACCAGTAAGACCCAAAAAATCCCGCAATTGCTTCAAATTAGCAGGTTGCGACCATTCCTTAACAACATCAAGTTTACTAAAATTCATACCTATCCTTGAACATGAGCAAGTATGGCCTAAGTAATCAATCTCCTTAACACCAAAACAACATTTATAAAATCTAGCATATAGCTGCTGCTGCTGTAGAGTTCGAAACACGACCTCTAAATAATACATGTAGTCTTTCCAAGAAGAACTATAAATTAAATGTCATCCAAAAATACTAACACAAATCTTCTTATTAGCATATCTTTAAAATATAATTCATAAGACTCTAAAAAGTGGCTAAAGCATTAGTCAATTCAAATGGCATAACAAGCTATTCGTAATATCCATGGTGGATTCAAAAGGTTGTCTTATGTCTATCCTCCGAATTTAACAAAATTTGACAATAACCTAATTGAAGATTCAACTTAGAGAAGTAATATGCACCAATCAATTCATCAATAATTTCATCCATTGTTGGAATTGAGAAGTTATCCTTAATGGTGATAACATTCAAGACCCTATAATCTGTACAAATCCTCCATAACCCATCTTTCTTCTTTACCAAAATTATTGGAGAAGAAAATTGACTTTACTGAGTTGTATAATCCTTTCTTCCAACATATCCTCAACCAACTTCTCAATCTCTTCTTTTTAACTATGAGGATAGTGATAAGGCTTAACTTCCACCGGGGAAGAGCCTTCCATTAAGGGAATTGAGTGATCATGAGTTCAAGAAGAGGGAAGGGCTATTGGAGTGCTAAAAACTAAGTTGTAAGTGTGAAGTAACAAAGCTAGTTCTAGTTCCATATCAGTACGAAGCTCTAGAAGAGGAAATTATGGAGAATTCGGATCCAACACTTGTATACTATAAACTTCTGTAATAGAATTAGTATGGACTAACCTTCGAATGTGATGTAAATGAGCTTGCACAGAAAGTTGAATCACTTCCCCTTGCAAGATTGCCATCTTGCCTTCATGCATAAATTTCAATTGTAAAGCTGCATAGTTAGCCAAATGAGGATCAATAGTCTTCAACCAGCATGCTCCTAAAATGAAATCTACGCAAGAAACATGTAAGAGGAAAACAGGTAAATTAAAAATATTGCCTTGAGTCTGGATGGATAAATTCTGAACTAGACCCTCAACAGTCATGTAATTATCATTCCCAACCATAACCTTAAACATAAGTGCTAGTTCAATGGAAAGTTTCAAAAATTTAGCTACACATAGTTGCAAGAAGTTATCGGAATTGTCCCCATCAATCAAAACTTTGATAGATAATCAATCAATATATGCTAAAAAAAAGGGGATGGGACACTGGTCCCTCCTTTTAATGCATTCAATGACAAATGATGATCTTCTATCACAGATGCATGAACCTACAACTTTGAAGTAGGGATTTCAGTTTGTTGTATCATTGTATCATCTAACTTATCTTCTTCAAATTGTAAGAACAAATATTGTCTATTTGGACACTTATGACTAAATGTAAATTTCTCATCACAAAAATAACATATCTCTTTCTCTCGCCTTATCTGCATTTTTGCTGGGTTAAATCGCTTGGCATTACTATTAATACACAATTGCGGACAAGGGGGAGTAGGTAACAATGTAGGTAAAGCTTGTTTAACTGCAGGCTTACCCTAAGCATGCATTTGGAATCGGTTAGAGGAAAACAATGGAAAATAACGTGTATTAGTAGCAGTGGAATGAGGTTTGGAATCAGGCAAATATCTAGTCTCTAACAATATAGTTAAAGCAACAACTCTTAACAACGAAGTTGGTGCCTGTGCAACTACATCTCTATGAATTTTCACATGTAAACCACTAAGAAAGCAATTCAACAGTGGTTCAAGAGGTAATTCAAATGATCTATTAGCTAAAGACATGAACTAAAGATAGTAGTCAGATACAAAATCTGGTTGCTGCAATTTAACCAAATTTGACATGGGACAATCAAATAGAGAAGGACCAAATTGAGACTTTAGAGCTCATGTTAAATAAATTCAACAAGTAATTGCAGATATGCATTGAAGCATCTAGAAACAAGGAATAATATATTGCTCAAAGTGAATTGCTGTAATATTCACTCTATGTGCATCTAGAGTGTGGTGGTAATTGAAGAACTTCTCAGCCTTAAAGATCCATTAAAGATCAAAGGATTGAACATTGAAATGATAAAAACCAATAGAGATATCTTTCACTAGTAATGTCGCATTCACCGAAGTAACAATCTAGAATGATTGATTTAAGGTCGAGCCCCCATAAGGCTGAGACTAGTTCTGCAATAAGAGATCAATAACAGCTTGTAACTGATCTATACGATTCTGCGTATAAACACAAACTTGCTCTTTATGATTATGCTAAGTTTGGTCACGCAAATCTAAAAGTTCCATCATTTGACGAAGCTTTTCACCATGACTATGCACTTCGGTCTGTAATTCCTTCAATCTAGTGTTCGTAGTTATGAAGAAGAATGAAAACACCAATGTAACAGTATAATGTTTATATATAATAATTTGAGTTTAAATATTGAAACAAGACTACTAATGAAGTCTGAATATCAATAGTGCAAAGATAGAATTAATGAAGTAATGACAATTGCAAGAAGAATTAGCTTGGGTCCTTGATCAATGATTAGAGAAGAAGAACCTGATATTAGAAAGAGTCAGGTTAAGAACAGATACGAAGGGGAGAAGAGAGTTTAGAGAAAGAGGGAAGAATTATCAGAGAAAAGATAATGAAGATCATTATGACGAAGACCAAACTCAAGAACATATGGAAGAAGTTAAGGGTTGGTTTGATAATGATGACTAGAATCATATCTTCCAAGTCGTTGGTGTGGAGACAAACTTCTCATTAAGACTTGGAAGATTTTGATTTTGTAATTATGTAAATTAAGTCCTAATGTATTTTGTATATGTTTTGTAAATATTGAACTTATAAATTTAAGTGATATCAAATGTATTACACATGTATAATTGTTCAAATTGTATTTTAATTTAACAATTTTTGTTACGATGAAAACTATTTAATTATATGTTAAAATTGAAATTATTAAAATTTTTATGAATTAAAAAATAGTGAAAATGAAAGTTTTGAAATTTTGTAAGATATTCTCTTATCACAAATAAACAGAAGATATGATTTATAATTTAATTCAAATTTATAAATCCTTAAATTATATAAAAATAATTAATTAAGAGTGTCACACTTTTTGTATCATAGAAGTTCCTCCTAAAAAAGAACTTTGTTATACTCATAATGTAGTTGCCTTTCGAGATGAGTGAGATAAGCTGAGTCACCTTCTCTAATCGCTTTTAAATCTCCTTAATTTTGGCTTCAATATCTCTCTTATTTTGGTTAATATTACCAAATGTCTCATTATTGAAAATGATAGAATCCCCTCTAACATTTTGAACTGATAAGATGAGATTTCCTCTACATTCCTTCTAGGCCTTAGAAACAAATTATAATCTTTGTGAACTATCTAGACAGCTTGAAAGTGAAAAGGTCGAGGCTCATGAACTTAGAGAAGGCCCCCACACCTTAACAAGTGAGGATTATGATTAGAGTGTAGAAGAGTAAGTGTTTTTACAAAAGCTTCTGAAAAGCTTCTTAACAAAGGTAGATTTAGACATTTTTATCTATTTTTTTTTTAAAGAATACGTTAACCATTATGATTTTTATACCAAGTGAATATGTAACCTAATGAAAGAATATTGGTTAAGTCACCCATTAAGTGTGGTATTGAATGTCATATGAATAAATTTCACTTTTTTACTTATAAGAAAATTGCACTGTGTTGAAATCTTCAATCAGCATCTATGGAGTAGAAAAATTAGCATGAACACTCCTTAAAATTATCTGTCTCTTTTCTTTTGGTAACTACAAAGCTAACACCGTCATTCTTTATTTATTATCCTTGTTTTAAGAATGATAAAATGAGGGTCAACATGAGTGATCACAAAGTTGAACTAATTATTTTTTAAATAAAAACTCATAAACCATCTGAGTATATTAGATCTTAATTACCGAGATAGGTAAATAACCACTTAAATTTGATAAATATTTATACAATAAAATTATGTAATAATTTAAACATTTTTTTACTCGTTATCTTTTTGTATAAATAAAATATATTATTATATTTCTCTTTTTTTTATCTCACTTATATTTGTAAGAAAAAAATATAAAATTTTATTATATAAAGAACATTTCCTTAAACATTATTATTATTTATTTAATTTTAAAAATAAAAGTAGGATAATACAAAAATAAAATAAAGAATAAAACATAAATATTAGTTAAAATTTACTAACATTATACTGTAAAACTTTGACATTAATAATTTTTAGTATTTTTTTTATAAAATACAAAATTGGCTAATTCAATTGTTAAATCATTTTACATTAATTTTATAATCATCATATATATTAAATTTCATATAACTTTATATATATATATATATATATATATATATCATATTCATTGATATTTACTTATATTTTATAATTATATTATCCATAAAATAATATGATAAAATATATAATATATTTTTTTATAAAATTGAACTATTTGACGAAACTCCTTAACCAAAGAGTTGAGTTATTTAATTTTGCATTATATAAAAAATTATTTCGTTACATTGTTTTCCAATTTGATATTAACTATCAATGAATTCTTCCCATTAAAAAGAAATTAAAAATACTCTACTAGTCCCTTCGTACTCTAACCTCTCTCATATTAGAATAACAATTACCCACTTCAACTTTGCTATAATACTTCTGCTACCACGCGTCCAAGAGGTTAAATTTGTGTGCATTCGTGATTTCAATCTTTCATTGTTCAACGGTAATGTAATCACATATTTTAAAAAATTTGCGGACTTCAACATATTTTAAAGGAATATTAGATCCAATACACCAGATGTTGGACTCTAAATTTTGATATGATCAAGGAAAGATAATTTGACATGCTGTACTAGTGTGTAATGGCAGAGGAGAAAGGAACCTGATTATACAATTAATGTACACGATTTCCATGATCAAACTGAATCAGAGAGGATAGTGTTTGTGTGTGTGTATATATATATATATATGAAGACAGTATAGTTCATCACGTCATGGAGATTTGGCTTCCAAATTGCTGAACTTGTAGCGAGTGTTGATGTAAGATCTTATACTGTCCCAAAGTGAGAATCTGGAGCCGAAAAATCTAACCACCACTGATTTTCTTGAGCCTTCTCTCATAAATTCCACCTCCTTTGCATTAGCTTGGTTCATACTGTCAAAGTCATCAAGCAGTGGCAATGAGATAGAACCCTGAGACTCTACATTTCTGATCCACCCACGTAGCAAGAAATTTATGACCTGCCAACAATGATATTACTTATGTTAATTATTTTTTGTTTTCAAGACAATCATGGAAAGAATTACACTTCAATCAATTCAAAGGAAGCTTTTTGACATATGTTGTATATAAAAACTGAAAGTATCCAATTCAGTGCTAGAAGCTGATTTAGCAAAGTGTGAAGAGGAAACAAAGAAGAGCACTTTCAAGGTATATTGGTGAGGAATTCTATACCTCAGGGACTTCATCATGAGGGCAGTGACCAGCAGGACTAATTTGATAATATGGAGCTTCAGGCACCTGCCTCTTAACCTGGAGTCCCCAAAGTGGCTTCACCCAGGGATCTTCTTTACCGTACATCAGGCATATTGGCACGTTGCTTTTTCGACATCTACATTGCAAAATAGCTGAAAATCCTTATCTTGGAACCATAAATATGGATAATATTAACACAAATTTAGTGCCGGTTAGAGATGCAGTAGTAATGTGTACCTAGATAATGCATCACTGAAAGATAATTCTGCCTGGGGAGCACACATGATTGAAGCAAATGCTGCTGCTGCAGCCGGATGCCTCGTGGTTTCAATTATGCGTGAAAATACACTATCCACATTTGTTGAATAATCTGCATAAACCTGATTAAGTACTTTAGCAATGCTAGCAGGATCACTAATTTTCTCCCACCTGAAGGGAAAAAAACCATTGTTTAATTCAAACACAGTTTAATACTGATAGTAGTTGCAAGAGGCATCTATCACAAATTTCCAACAGTACAATTCTAGTGAAAGAAGTTCGAAGTTTCCCATTCTCAAATAGAATAATATTTGGTCCATTAAATGGAGTTTATTATTTTAATATGAGTCACATATGAATGTGATAGTGGGTTACATTAATGAGATGAGCCGAAGCAGTTCACAATTAGAACATTGAAAACATGTGTGCCAAAAACGCATAAATGAGAGTAAAATGAAGAAATACTTACACCAACTCCGTAAGCCTCCTTATCTTAGCTGGTAGGGGAAATGTTCCTGCCCATGGAAAAAGTTTTGCTAGGCCTGGATTCTTTATAGGATTAGGAAGAAATCCCCAAAAAGGTGTTGCATTAAGCAGTGTGACACCTTTCACTAAATGAGGGTTAAGTGCCGCAAAATACAGTGCAACATATCCTCCTAGTGAGTTCCCCACCACATAGACTGGTTCACCAATGACCTGCAGAAACAAGTTTGTGTCGTCTTTACTTTCATAAAGGGTCACTATCCACAAACAAGGTAATTCCTGAGTAAAACAACACAAAAAAACCACCCTAGCCCCTCCTCAAAAAAGAAAAGAATAAAGAACCTACACCAAACCACACTAAGGCACAACTATAAATACTTCTCATAATATGAATCGTACACATTCAGTCCTAAAGTGGTAAAAGCAACATGAAATTGAAGAGAAACAAACAAATTGAGAAGGAGAAGCTTTTTGTGGTACATTTTTTCAACATGTAGCTTGACCAAATATTTAACTGAAATAAAAAAACTAGCTGGCTGCTATCAAACTCAAGTCACTTACCTCTTCTACAAAGTATCGAACTTGATCTTGCCATAAATCAATAGAGTATACAAGCTTAGTTGCCCATGGTTCCGTTTCATCTCCAAAGCCCCAAGAAGAATCATCTCCATTTGATACAACCCCTTCCCTATAGTGAGGTGCCGGGTCTTCAAAAGGCAAAGACAATCCTTGGCCCAGAAAATCCAGTGCCCATACTCTATTGTCACGGCCCAAATCTTTCAGCTGTTTCTCATAATGGAAAGAACCAACACCAAAACCAGGAAGAAAGAGAACATGTGGAGAATCCACATTCTCACACCCTCCCTTCTCATAGTGTACGTTAAATTTAGGTTTCCATTCCCAAAAACAACTACTTATTGGAGCACCAGATTCACCATTTGACCCACCTGGGATACCTGGAATCACAACGTTAGCAGCATGCTCCTCTATCCCTGAAATATTTGTTACATTTCCTTCACGGCCAATCACATACCCATCATAACTTTCACTATAGATCCTGCAATCAACTCTTTTGGAGCCTTCAAGAGCATTTAATGATCTAAAATCTCTTTGCTGCACCTTGTTCTCAAGGAAAGATTGACCAATGTTATAAAATCTCACAGACCCACGTTTTGATTGACGTGAATTCAAGCTTTTGTCAACCAATTTCCACTTCGAGTCCACTACTTGACAGCATGGTGCAGGACCATACGACAGAATTTCCATACCCAAAAACTGAATTCTGCACAAACCACCCGGCAAATGATTCAGTACACATTCTTTGCGATCATCATAAAGAAAGGAAGATAAAAGAAACAATTAAACTTGATTACTTGGAAGTCGAAATTGAATTGTTTCTTCTCCCAAACAAAGCAAGAAATGATTTTAACTGTTCTCACAAGCCTTTCAGAGATATAACCAATTTTGTGCAGCGTCGTAAAAGGAAAGTGCAAACAGACTAAACACAAAAGTAATCTTGATTTCATGCGGAACACATCAATTTATAGTTTTTTTTTTTTTTCCATACATATTTAATTGCAATGAAAAAGACTATCTCTTCCGCCATGATTAAAAAAGGTAAAGCTATAAAATAATTAATTGTATACGAAATTCTAAAACTGTACCCTTTAATTTAATAAAGGAGGTGGCATGAGAATCTGCTTCTTCCTGAAATTTCGTTCACTGCAGTGTTCTAAGGAGATTCAGATGATATTTACTGACATGTTCCCTTTACTTGCAAGGCAGTTCCTCCTTTATAAGCCAACAAAAAGAATCGTCTTTATTATTATTATTAAAAATATTTTCGTGGGTATTTCAGCGTGATATAGAGAGAAAAAAAAGAAAAAGAGAAAATTATCACACAGAGACGTGCAAGTTTCATGCAAGAGACAAATGATGTCTGACAAACACGTGTAGATCAGAAATGGGAACACTGACAACCACTAGTGTGTGTATATAAGTCGAGCTATCTCAAGAAATTTATACGAGACACGTGGTGGATTTATGTGAAATTTATCTTATTATGAAAGGAATCGTGCTTTTGGTACCAAAATAATCAATCACGATTCACAGTTCCTAGTTTATGTTAATGATCCTAAAATAAAATAAATTATTAACCAACTAAAATTTTCAATTTTGAGGTACGAAGATTTTAATTAATTAAATAATTTTTTGGGCAAATTTGGTATTTGTGTACTTATCTTTTAAATTTTATTTTGATTTATTTTAATTTTAAAAATAGTTTAATAATTTATTTTTTATTTAAAATGTTGACTTAACTATTTTGGTCTTTTTTTATTCAAAACTCTACACATTAGAGGTGGAGGTTATCACACAAAAGCAATGGTACAACTCAGGAAGGAAAACGTCGTTGTTTTTGCCGATGCAAGAGAAGTTGATGGTGGTCTCCCATAGAATTCTTGAGAGGGATGCAACGTTTGAAGTAGCAGAGGAGAAGGAAGAGTACAGTAACAATGGGAGAGGGCAAGGCAATGACGGCAGTGGAAGCAACTGCGTGGCAACGTGCATACTCAGAGGAAAGGAAGAGGAGAAAGAAGTAGAAAAAAAAAAGTTGATTTTGAAAATATTAAACAATGAAAAATACACCAAGAAGACGATCAATAGTATAATAACCAATTTTATCCCGTTCCATTATAAAATTCTAAAACAAAATTTAAAAAGTAAAATATCAAAATAAGTTTTTTTTAATTATTTCTTTTATCAAAAAATCAGAAAGAATAATATTTTTTTATAAAAAATTCATTTCTTTAATTTAAAATTAAATTTTTTTCCTAAAATTGTATTTTTATTTAAAAAATAATAAAAACTAAAGTTTTTTGTAAATTATAAAATTTATAAATAAAAATGTAAAAAAATAATAAATTAATAAATATTTCTAAAGTTTGTACAATTAATAATCGTTTTATTTAATTGACGTTGTATGATATTAATACTAAATGACTCTGAATTTAAATTTGATTTCAAAATTATTTTTAATTAAATTTTTTCAATATTTTTTTGATAAATTTTAGTGGCAACTTACTATCGTCAATTTTGTTAAAACTATTTGCAACTATTTTTCTATGCAATTGTTCGTTGCGACCTTATTGTGCTGAATTTTAAATAGAAAAAAACAAAAAAAATAATGAAATTAATGTTCTTGTAAAAAAGTTAAAATAAAATTGTATAATAAAATAAATTGAAGAACTAAACACGAATTTTACTTATTTTTTTAAAAGAAATTGCTTGTTGGTAAAAAAAAATATATCACATAATGCACGAAAAACTGTATAAGAATAATTTGGCATGAATTGGGTCAAAGTTGGGAGTTTTATTTTAACTTTAAATTTAATATTTGACCAATCATTTCTGTCCATTTCATTTCGTGCATAATTTGTTTAAATTTCTTCGATCTAAACAGCAGTTCTGTTTTGTAAATTGAAGAGCATTAACATAAATTAAAGTAGAGTTGTGGGTGGAGAGAAGATTTGGAATCACCTGTTTCTCAATTAAGTGCATCAAGTATATGATAAATAAGCTTTTAACAAGGTATGTGTGAACAACAATGGCTTGGAGGCGAAAAATGGAGATCATACTATACACCTAGTCACGCGATTCCTAAATCTTGGATTTAACATGAAAAATAACAGAGATAGAGGGATACGTAAATCATAGAATCCAAGCTGAATTGATGAAATGGAGGAGTGTTTGAGATTTAAAGGTGCTGCACAGTCTGGGAAAGAAAAATTTACCTGTCAAAAGTCCAGCTATGCTGAATGGTACTGAACGTTGAGTGGTAAAGTGTGAATAAGAGCATAAACTTAGTGTTTAACACACAAGAACCATTATGATTAGGAATAAATGTATTAAATAGAAATTAGTAGTAGTAGTACTTACTATGGAAAATGTGGTAATATCATGCCTTAGATGGTTTGGCCATATGAAAAGACTGATAGATCATATGAGTTCATTGAATGCAATATTGCCCAACAGTTTATGTGAAGGAAGACTAAAATGGATTTCTAGTGAAACCATTAAAATGGACCGATTGAAATGGCATCTTTGAAGGCATGCTTTATGACAAACACTGACATTATTTGAGCTACTAAACTTATGTAATTGTATTGTGGAACCAACCCTGTTAAATATAATTTTGAAGTAACTTTCGAAATTCTGGCAGCTGGTTTAGTAAGATTTAAGCTATTTCAAAGCATAAAATTCTAAAGCTGATCACCACCTACTTAGTTATCTAGTTTTAGAGGAAAATTTGGATTTGTTGGTGCATTTAAATTAATTGATATGCATCTGTCCTGAATTGTTGGATTTCAAAGCAAAACAGGACTTGCATTAGTGAATAATTATTTATGGAATGAACATTTTGCAGGATAATCCGTTCAAGCATCTGGTTGAAATGCATCAAAATCTCTATCATGAATTTGTTGACATCAGAGTAAATCAAAATAAATCTTAATCAAGTGAATAATTACTTATAGAATGAACATTTTGCGTAACATTGGATTGAAAGAATGCATCATGTTCATAAATTTCTTATTGATCTGATATTGCTTTTTATACCATTATTTTATAGTAAAATTGATGCAAAAGATATTTTCTTTAACAGGGTTGTGAAGTTAGCCTGCTTGGAAAGTTGTTCTTGTTCAGTACATATGAAACAATTAATAGATGGATTTTCTTTGTTTCTGGATCTTATTTATTTTTGTCAATTATGAAGAAAATAACCGAATTTTGTCTGACAAATTTACAGTTTTAGCATGGGTTCAAGAAATTGATGATTGAAACAGTAGATAGCTAGGTTGTATTACAAAACGCAGTCTGAATTTGAACTAGTTTTCATCAGATATCATAAAAGAATATTGAAATCATAATATTCTGATTGTCCAAAAGTAGTAGAGCACAAGCATACCATACACAACACAAATTACTGTCTTTCTCTGCACCAGATGAGAATATGAGAATACAATACATCAGCACACAAAATGGCCATGAACATGGTCATCACTGCAATAGAGGCCCGGTTGTTGAGTGAAACCTCCACTCTTCAGCTTCTTTCTTGCTTTCAAAACAAGCTCTTGATTTGTGATTGTACCATCCGTCTCCTGAACGATAGCTTGTATTGCATTGCTAAAAGCTCCATAAGCATTGGCAGAATTTCCTGAAGGACTTGCATCAGCAGAAGTTTGGTCAGTCTGACAACCGCTCAGCAGAATTCCACCATCTGGAAGACCGGACTTGGTTGATCCAGCATATGCCTCATATTTGCTTTCTACATTCGTCTCCATGGCAGGTTTTGTATACCCATGATCGTTTGCATCCAGCTTTTGCTTCAGAAACTCTTGGGCAAGACTACCCACCAACCCCAAGATTCCACCATGTTTTTCACTCCCACTATCCCCATGTTGGAGCTTATTCAAGATAACCTTCATGAATTTCTTTACTTTTGGGCTAGCATCTTCCCCAAAAATATCATAAAGCGAAAGTCTCAATTTCCCAACATCTATATCATCTTTCCCAGTTTTCTGCTTGAGTATATCGATGACGGTAGAAAGTGGCAATGACCTATTTTTTACATAGCCGTGTTGTTGTGAAGGTTCAATGTTTCTAGCTTCGGTTTCATCATCATTGTTGTGTCCACGACGGCGCAATGCTGAGGGGATATGAATTCCACGAGACTCGATGGCATCTTCCACAGTATGACGAAGGAAGCTTGACAATCCAAAGCCAGAGCCAGAACCAGAGCCAGAATGGTGCCCTTCTCCCTTTGTACTCTCTCCTATCTGCTCCTTAGCTCCGTCAATTAAACCACCACTGTGGCAAGAATCTGATACAATTGTGAGCTTACAGTCTCTAGGTACCCCGTCTACAAATTCCCTGAAATCATCATCTGTTACACGGACACGTACTTTATTACTTCCCACAAGAATTGTGCCAATGCAACGTTGCTAGATGTTTGCTATTATCGGTATCAAGATGTTTTACTAATAAAATGCATCTTTTAATTTCTTTTACTTCATTTTTGTTCCTATACCAAACTGATCAAGACACCACTTAGAACTACAGAGGCAATAAAAACATCAACAATTTATCAAATTCAAATGTTTTTAGTAATTGTTTCTCAGATTTTAAGTGTTCTTCACGTTCATCCTTTCCAGAGCTCTCCATCTCAAAAGATAAAAATTAAATGAACAATTCATTTAATTAAACAGAAAATGACGTATTTCTCGATAATGCAGAGGATATTTTAGAGGATAACGAAGGAAACAATCCCTATTGATTAAAAAAATGCTAAAATTTTAAAAACTTTTATAATTTATTTTACATATGCATAAATTGCCCTAATTGATGACTTTCTAAACTATCCGAAATTCCAAATTACTGCACTTTATCTTGTTCTACACTATACAATAACCAAATTCAATAAAAAGTAATTGAGGTTTTAAACTTTATAATACATTTTACACAAATATAAAATTATTTATAAAAAAACGATTAAAACTACACTAGATCTACTGAAAAAAAGGAGGAAAACAGAAAGAGCTGAGAAAGCAACCAGTGATGAGGTTCATATCGGAAGGAACAATGCATTCATCGTAGCCAGTGTCATCATCCTCTCCAGTTTCCGCAGGGAGGCGAGTACCGTGTCCACTGTAATGAACGAACAACACGTCCCCTGGTTTCGCCGATCGTATCAACCTGGTCAACGCTGACCGAATGTTCTTCCCCGTAGGCTCCGTGTGGGACTTGTCCGTGTCAATCAAAACGGTGATGTCGTTTTCCGAGAAGCCGTATCGATGGATCAGACACCTGTGCATCCTCCACACGTCGTTTATGCACCCTCTCAGCTCCGCCTTCGTTCCTGGGTAGTTGATTCCAATCAGCACTGCTTTTTTCGCCATTGAAATCTCACTCCCTTTCTCAACTACCAAAGAAAACCAGGTGCGACTTTGCCTTTCTTTCTTCCTCTAAATTCACGAAAGAGTGTTTGTTTGTGTTTTATATTAACATTTGCTCTATCTTTTTTGTTTTTACTTGCATCTGTTTCATTGTTTACACTGGTTGGTGATTGACTTGGTTGGCAACTGATTGGATGAACCTGCAAATGCATTCATGTCGTATTATAATATTTTATCGCCATTTTGCATACATTTTTTAACCTCAAAATAATAATGGGTATCAGTAATGCAGAACGTTCCAAACCACTAATATTAGTTTCCGTAAGTTGACAAAGCTTAACATCATAATGTATATAATAAATCAGTATTAAAAGTTCATAACTTAAAGTCTAATTAGACAATAATATCAATATTTATAGTATTCTACCTAACTTTTTTTTAATAATTTTATACATAAAGTGTCCAAAATAAAAACACAAATAAGTCATTGACAAAAATTATTGGCATGTGAACGTGGGTTAGTATGCAGATTCATATAATTAATAAAAGTATAAAAATATAGAAAAAATATTAAATTAACTAAAAGCACATTTATATATTATTTTAGAAAAAGATGGTCGATGCACTTACCTCCTAATTCATAAATTTCAACCCATTTAACCAATGGTTTATGAGAATTGAGCGAAAAATAAAATAAAATAAAATAAAACAAATTTATCCTAACTTACACAAATGGCGAGTTATACAATGTCAGCTCATGATTCATAAATGTAAAGCTCAGTTCGGTTTGTGTATAACATCAAGTATATATGAATCTAAAATAAATTTTAAAAGTAACAGAAAAAAAAAAGTTTAACACGACATAGTATATATATTCAATAAAATAAAATCATTACAAGATTAAAAAATTATTTTGAATAACAAAAAATTTAAGCATTTTATAACAAACTACACAAATAGTAATTATATGAATGTAATCAAAGTCGAAATATGTGATTTGTATGCATGATTTGTTAACATTGAAACTTGGACACACACGTTATTTTATATTTTTTCATAAAATGTGAGAAAAATTTTGATATCTCATTCTTGGATATCCACATTACTGAGTCGTGTATCGTTCTGTGCTGTTTGTTTAGATATTTTGGCTTCAAACACAAATGAATAATAACGTAGAGCAAAACAAACACAAGGCAAACATACTAATGAAAATAATAGTTTTTAAAACGGATAAATTTTGATTTTAATTCATAAAATATCTAATTTGACTAAATTTGATTTTTAAATTTGAAATTTTAATTTTTAAAATTAATAACCGTCAATTATGTTAATTTTTATTATTAAAAAATTTCAAAATTAAATGATAAAATGATAATTTGTTTCGATAAATTATATACAGTGATTTAAACTAAACATTCAACACGTTATTTTAAAATATATTAAAAATAAGCTATTTTCGTTTTTAATTTTTAAAATTTTAAAAATTAATTTAAATAATAATGCATATTTTAGATATTAAAATAAAAATTATTAGTTAGAAAAACGGTTAAATTCAAATTCTGGCAGTTATAAATAAAAATGAATTGTAAAAATAAAAAAAACACTTGATTGGACATTCGCATGTAAGGTCTTTTTCTTTTGGTCGTGGGCATTTGCACGTGAGTTGGATTGGTCACTCCTCTTGGGGCTGGGCCTGGCCCAGTACTTCATGACAAAAACCTACAAAAAAAAAAAGAGCAAGAAGATATTGAATTGGATTGCAGTGTTGTAGTAAAACTTCAACAATGATTCACTATCATCAATTTAGGAATGACAAATGGGAGGATATAAGTAGAGTATTATATTACTTATTTACATACCTATATTTTTAAAAAAATATTCACATCCAGTTTTATATTTGTGTGGGTATTTAATATTAATTCTCGTGCCTGTATTCTCTAGGTACCCACATATTTATATTCGTATCTATTACTTGCACTTATTTGAAAAAAATATTTATAAAAAAAATATGTTTATATAACTTTATATAAGTAGCATGATAATAAAAAATTCAATATGTAGTTACTGAAAAAAGTATAAATATAGATAGAAAATAAATATTCAAAGATTATAAGTGATAAATGTATCTTAATATAACAATTTTTAAATTAAATCTTTTAAAAATCATAAGCAAAATTAAATACTTATGTCAGCGATGACCCCTATCTTGTGTAAGATCCAATTGAATGACGATAATAGAGCAACAATGAGATAGATCTGCAAAATAGTGACCTTTTGTGTGGGATAACTTGATGACTTCTTATGGCAACATTGGCAACCAGCTTTAACGAGTAACAATTTATAGTTACTGCAATAGGTTTGAATGAAGCAGACATTGAGAATGAGAATAGAGTTAGGGTAAAAAAATTCAAGTATTAAATGACAACGAGAAGTGGACATATAATACAATTTTTTTTTTTAACTTTTGAATCTGAAATTGTAAGAAAAATAACTAATTTAATTAAAATAATATAACATAATATATATATATATATATATATATATAAATATATATTAATACTAGTATTTTTAGAGCTGTTAAAAAGCTTAATTAGCTCAGCCCTAACCCTAGCCCATGTGGGTTAGGGCCAAAAAGTCCACTGGATCATGTAACACCTTAAATTTAATTTTCAAATAATAAATTTTACAAAATGGGATAATAAAATTTTCATTTTTAAATAGACTTTTTCAACGCATAGTTTTAACAAAGTATTTCAAAATAATAAGGGTTTACAAATTTTAATCAAGTAACTGTCACAGAACTACTCTAAATACATCATATGTTCAAAATAAAATCTAAACCTTATAGCAGTATCATTCATTCCTTCACCAAGTCCGGTGCTAATCGTCTTAGTCACCTGAAAAATAATTATAAGGGTGAGTACTCTACACTATTCAACACACGCAAATATAGAGACTCACCTCACACACTTTACATAATTTATAACATATTTTACATAAGTGTAATCAATCACAAACAACACTTCCCACACATTCCATTTCAATTCACAATCGATGCACTCACTACACCAACATTTTACACATACGTGCGCTCACTGCACGTAACCACACTTATTGTGGCACTGTGATCATAGTTTCACACCATGGATTGTCACCGGTATCCCCGCCTCACAGATACAATGTGTGCAGTCATGAGTCACTCAACAAAGGTATTGGTCAGAGGTCTAGTTAGGAGGAGAGTGTATGGCCTGTGGTGCACTCAGGCTCACTGTTGGTGTCACCACCATCTTTTCTTTCCCAAGGTATTTCTACCATCTCCATCTTTCACATCTTAGTGTATCGCTGAACCATTCATAGCATATTCACAACCACACTTAACATGCCCTTTCACACACATTTCAGGCACATACAGTATTCATATTCGTACACAGCACACAAACCCACATTATTTCACACCACACAACATACAGGCCCACGTTCATTCACAACACATATGCTCATATTTCATCACACAAAGTTGAATCATATAGTTTTTATCATAATATCTTTACAACCATTCATTTCATCATATCCAATATTTCACAATATCAATAGTACTAAGTTTCACACGATCTTTTCGCCACAATTTTACTACAATCAATCAATTCTACCAAACACGCACATTCCAAACCATCCACATGACAATGCATAGCAAATTACATGGCATTCAACACAATGAGATAGGGTAGAGTCTCCCCTTACCTCGAATTGAAGACCCACACACGAAATCAATCAAGGAAGTGCTCCCCACACAAATTTCGTCTTAAATACATGGAAAAATTCCATGAGAACCAAGGGAAACCGAGAAAACAGAGAATGAGATGAGAAACCGAAACCCTAACCATTAAAACTTACCTCCAAGCATTCCTAACATAATTTCAACCTTCGACCTGGCTCTCGAATAGCTTTGGAGGCAATTTAATTGGTGAAATAAGGTTTTAGGTTGAGAGAATCAAAGAGATTTTGAAGAGAGGAATGAAAAATGAATCTCTCAAATCCTAATCCCTTCAAATACCCCTCTGGTCATAACACTCTCACTACAGCCAGACACTTTCACTGCAGCGACGCCCCTTGTTGCTACAGCAAAACTTTCAGAAGAAACTGCATCCTAGTTTCTGCAAAATCTCGCTACAACGAAACTGCATCCAGAAATGCACCCCTCACTGCCACTCTCTCGCTGCAGCGAGAAAGTGACAGTTTCACACCTTTCTCTTAGGGCCCTCTCACTATGGCGAGAACACCTTGCACCATATACTTAGCCTATTTCAAACAGTCCAGAAAAATCAATTTTAATGTACAATCAGCATCCACATCACATTTTACAAACATAAACATATTTAAACGTATATTCTCATCACCATTCAATATTCATCATTATCATATCAAACTCATCACGCACTCAAGTGCACATTCCAATATTCATTCACACACACACACACACACACATATATATATATATATATATATATATATATATAATAATTAATATTACAAAAATTTAGAGCGTTACATGTCAGGCTTAGGGTTAGGGTTAGGACTTTAAGGGCCAAAAAATTTCAATTGCAAGTTTCCAACTCAAAAAAAGTGATAAAGCAATTAATAAAAAATAAATAAAATTATTTTTATTTATATGAAAATTTATGTTAAGAAATAAAAAATTATTTTTTCAAAAAACATAATATTCAATATTATTAATATATTGTATTACATACTAATTTAATATTTACAACGAAAATTCATTTATATAAATTATGATTGTATTTTTTAAAATACATGTTAAAAATTGATAAAAATTAATATACATATTGTTTTTCAATTGTCATTGTACACATATGAATTAAAGCAAAAATGCATATAATAGAATTTTTTTTATTAAAAAGTAATATTTAATAATATTGATATATTAAATTTAATAAAAAATTGATGTATATAATATTTTTATGAGCTGGATGATTAAAGAAAGGGTGTGTGTTATAATATGATTAAAACTTTAAATTCCATTTTATTTGATGGTTAAGATATAACAGTAATTTGATTGATGAATGGTCGCATTGAAAGAAGAGCGATTTATTAGTATGTTGATATGGTAAGACATTTGTTGAGATGATATTCGCTCACACTCATCAACGTTGAATTGTAGTTGAGAGACTGAGTTCTCTCATTACTCAGACTCAACCTCAGCTATAATGGGTGCACCGAGAAACGTTAACAATACATATGTGTAACATCTACACGTTCTCACTCCACTCCACATGTGTTAGTTTCACAACTGTATGTTAGTAACTGCCTTGTCACCATGAAGAAGAAAACCTATCACTTTTAACCGCCCTCACTGGCTCCACAAATCATCCTTATTGCTTTTCCACTTTATATATATATTTCCCTCTCCTTCCAATTCTCACCCTTCTCTCGATTAGGGCTAACACATGGATAACTCTACTCTAACTCATATATTATGGACTAAATAATTTAAAGTCAAATTATTATTTTTAATTAATATAATATTTAGAACTGGATGGATTATTTTAAAGTTGGATAGGGCTGGCTCTAGGGCCTTAACCCTGTTTGACAAGTCTAATTTTTAACTCATGTACTATACGAAAGTATTTTGTTAAAAATATAAATTTTTAAAAAATTATTTAATGAATTAAATATTTATAATGTATATAAATTTTAAAAAAAAGAATTTGAATAAAAGATAAATGATCACAATAAATTTTTGAATAAAAAATATACGTGTATATAAAAAAAATTATACTTTTTTATTTGAAGAAAAAATTAACAAAATAGAATTAACAATATTTATTATATTTTATATCTTTTCAAAAACTTCTTTAAATGTAAATAAATGGTAAGAATAATATTATTTAAATTTAATAGATTATAGTTGTACTTGTAATGCACATATTGCATAAAAAAATATTATTTTAAATTGAAATATAAAAAATAAAATTTAAATATTTTAATAAATAATAAACCTACAGTAATAGTAAATGATAATAAAATTTACAAAATATTTACAATATGTTTATTATTTATCATTCACTTTATAATTTAAATATTAATATAATTTTATTAATGAAAATATTTGAGTGAAAAATATTTTATATGTGTCATATAAATATTTCTTTTAAAAAAAATTAATCTAATATGAACTATGTAATAATTAAATTGTATTAGTATAGTTAAACCATATAAAATAGTAAATTTTTTATTAAAAATATGAACCAAAATAATTTTTTTAGTTTATTTTATTATTGAATATATTTTTATATTAATCTTATATAACTTTACATAAGTAATATAATAATACAAAAATTCAATACATAATTATAAAATAAAGTTTAAGCATAAATCAAAACTTATATAAGTAGCACAATTAATATATATACACCCATACCTGCACCAATACCTATTAAAATTTGTGAATATTTACCTATACCTGTACATATACCTATATAATGGATAAATACCTTATCTACTTATTGTAGATAAATTTTAAAAATGCTTATCAAGTAATTTACTCATTGCAATCCTTAGACATAATGATTATCAAGTTTGTAGTTAAACTAATAAATCATTAGTTAAATTAGATAATAATAATAATAATAATAATAAATAATTTTTTTCTTATTATTATTGAAATTGTAGGAGTTGTTGAAATTTAATTTATAATTACAATTATATAAAATACTTAAATTGAAAATTTTGTTTTTAATGGTAGTCATACCTAGGATAAATGATAGTCATGGTTCACGATGGTTGTTTTTTAACTTCTTCGTTGTTTTCTTTTTAAACTATAAAATACCCAATTCATTATTAATGGGCGATCTACTAGTTTATTTCAAAATTTAACTAAAATTTTCTATTTTCAATGCGTTTTTCGATCAAATATACTATTTGAATTAGTTAATTTGTCAATTTTTCAATTCGCGGATTCAATCAGACGATTCAAATTGATTTAGAACACGTTTTTTTTTATGTGATTAATGCATGTCAGATTTAGATAAACAGGTAACATTAAATGCTCAAGAGAAATCATTTTAGGTATTTCGTGAAATTTTATATATACATATATATATATTATAATCGTAAAATATAAATTAAATAAAAAATATATATATTATAACTGTAAGATATAAATTAAATAAAAAATTGATTAAATTTTTTTTTAAATTTATATTAATATAAAAAATTTATATATATATATATATATATATATATATATTAAATACTAATACTATTTAGTTCTTCTCTCTAATTTTGATTACCTAAAGTTTTTATTTGTTTAAGAGGAATTTTTTTTTTGTTGGTTATTAAGTTATTAATTAATTATTTAATATAAGTTTGTCAAATAAAAACAATATCCTAATAATAATTTCACAATTACCATGTGATGGTATCGCTGACCGAATTCCAGATAGAGAAAGATATTTTCTTTCTTGGAATACAGTGTATTTGAAATGAATTTTCATTTTTAATTAATAAATAGAAGTGGGAGAGTCACATCCCAAATGTAGATAAACAAAATACAAATGCAATTACAATAAACATTGGATTTTCGTGTGGGTAACTAAGCACGTTACCATTAAGGAACAAGCATCGTGGATTCCTGGTCTTGGACAGTTGTGGATTGAGAACTCCGAACCTGAATCGGAACCGGAAGGGATAGGGATGGGTTTCACAGAATCGACCTCGCTCCTCCCTTCAGGTTCGGCCACACGAAGCAAGAATGTTCCAGAAGACAAATGGCAATTAACATACATAGTGTATTTCACCCTCGGCCTCGGTTACCTTCTCCCTTGGAACGTGTTCATCACCGCCGTTGACTATTTCTCCTACCTCTACCCCGATGCCAGCGTTGACCGCATCTTCGCCGTCGTTTACATGCTCATCGGTCTCGTCGGAATCTTCCTCATCATACTCTACAGCCACAAATCTGACGCATATGTTAGGATCAATGTTGGTCTCGCCTTGTTCGTCGTTTCTCTTCTTATCGTTCCCCTTCTCGATGCCTTCTACGTTCAGGGTCGGGTCGGGCTCTATGCCGGCTTCTACGTCACCGCTGGCGCAGTTGCCCTTTCCGGCGTAGCCGATGCGCTTGTCCAGGGCTCCATTGTTGGTTCTGTCGGCGAGTTGCCGGAGAGGTACATGCAAGCTGTCATCGCCGGCACTGCTGCTTCTGGTAGTTAGTTTGTTACTAGCAATGATTTCTTATCTTATTATAAGGTAATGAATTAATGAATAATAAAACGCACAAAATGGAGCTTGATTTTTAGATGAAACTTAATGAGCATATTTGGATTCATGTTTAAATGACTTTTATTTAAACCCTAAATGTTACTTAGTTATAGAGATGTAAGTTTGAATAAACATTACTAGTTATAGTTTCTGTGTTAAATCCTCGGTTACAGATTTTTTAATGTTTTTCCAAATGCTCGTTATGTTTGGCAGATGACCAATTAGGGCTTAGTCAATATCAACCAATTAGGCAGGGTTCATTTTGGTGTGATTTTGATATTTCATGGTTTTAGGTTTTTAGTACCCTATAATCTGAAGCACATTAATATACTGGATTTTAGGTACATATGCAAACTATTTTGTAAAAGATCATTCATGTATTTCTGTTTATTGAAGTGGGGGTAGGCTACATGGTTCTTTTTTCACTATGGATGTTTTGACTTCAGGGGTGCTTTGTTCGGTTCTGAGGATATTTACAAAAGCTGTTTACCCACAAGATGCCTCAGGCCTGCAAAAGAGTGCAAATCTTTACTTTGCTGTATCAATTGTAATTGTGTTCATATGCATGGTTTTCTACAACTTGGTGCACAGACTTCCTGTTATGAAGTACTATAATGAACTTAAGGTTCAGGCGGTTGCCGCGAATGAAGATAATGGTCCCTTGACGGGAGCTGTCTGGAGGTCAACTGTATGGAATATTGTCGGAAGAGTCAAGTGGTATGGGTTTGGCGTTGTGCTCATTTATTTTGTTACTCTGGCTATATTTCCTGGTTATGTTACTGAGGATGTGCACTCTCAAATTCTTACGGATTGGTACCCAATTATCCTAATTGCTAGTTATAATGTGTTTGATCTTGTTGGCAAGTGTCTCACTGGCGTATACCTCCTAGAGAATGCTAAAATTGCAATAGGTGGCTGCATAGCAAGATTGTTGTTTTTCCCTCTCTTCTTAGGGTGCTTGCACGGTCCCAAATTCTTCCGAACTGAGATTCCCGTGACAATACTGACTTGCCTGTTAGGGCTTACTAATGGCTACTTAACCAGTGTATTGATGATTATGATTCCGAAAACTGTAAAGTTGCAGCACGCAGAAACGGCAGGGATTGTGAGTGTATTATTCTTAGTTTTTGGTCTGGCTGCTGGGTCTATTATAGCTTGGTTTTGGGTCATCTGACCAAGCAATTTGTATTAGTTGGACCCAATACCCACGTCTTATGCTTCACTATATTAGAATTCAAAACTGTGATGGATTTTCTTAATTTGTTTACTGAATATGTGAAAGTTTGTAAGCTTATCTGTTAATAAATAATAATGTTCATCAAATAATGAGCTATTGTCGTTGAACTGTCAAGGAATAATATTCTGTTCGTCCTTTACCAAGGGATCACCGTTATAGGCAGCTGTTGGGTACCTTATTCTCTGTTCCTCCCGTGCTTTGATAAAAGATTTATTGAGAAAGTAAAGCCCGGGTAGGCATCTGTCTGGAAATTTAAGTTTATGATCCTTAGTTCTCAAGAAATATAAATACATTCCATAAATTAATTTAGCTACTTCAGATGCCACTGTCACTCACTACAAAAGGAACCTTGTAAGTTGTAATTGTAGTCGCTTTGAAGACTACCCAGACAAATTCCTGGAAATCAAATAATAAATTCGCGGGACCCAATGATATAGAGAATGAGGGAAATGTTTGCCTTTGAGGAAAAGTTTATGGCTGCTATGCTCTGAAGTGTCTCACTTTATATTTCATCTGTCCGCTACTGGTTTTTCTAGCATTTGGGATTTTGCATGAATGTAAATATAAATAATAACTTCGTTCGGGTGGAATATGATGAGATAATAAAAGGAGGACGTGCCCATAAGCTAATTACTAACTGGGCGTCCCTCGTTTCCCCAGCAGGTTCCGGTAATTTGATCTCTCCCCCCTCAATAAAAAATTATAACGTGTTTTTAGAGCAATAATTAATGCATGGTCAAAGAATGTACTTAACATTGATTTTAAGAACTCAGAAACCAAGTTCCAGGGCTCTACAACAGTTTGGCCTTTCTTTCGTTGAAATTTCAAACTTCCAACTCATGGTAAACAAATCAGGTGGGTCCACAACACCATTACCTGCTTCCTTAGTTGTAGCTGAGTGAGAAGTCAGCTGCCTCGAAGCCTAAGTCAATTTCTCTCTAGTCTAAAAACCAAAGCCTTATCGTTTTCCTTTAGAGATTATGTCTCAAGACTATCAACAAAGCAGGGCATTCTAAACACCAGACAACTATCACTACATTTCTTCCACTTCTCACGTTTTGAAAAGATCACAAATCACAGGATCATGGTTGATATGCTTGGTTCGTTTGTCTCTGCCTTCCTGCAAGTGCTGTTGGATAGGGTAGCTCATCGTGAACTTTTAGAATTCTTCCGGGGCAACCATCTTGATGAGGCACTTCTAGAGAAGTTGAAGAAGCTTTTGCTGTTTGTCGCTACAGTGCTTAGTGATGCTGAGGAAAAAGAGTTTATTAATCCATTGGTGAAGGAATGGATTGATAGGCTTAAAAATGCTGCCTATGATGCTGATGATGTATTGGATGAGATTGCCACGAAAGCCATGCAAGATAAGATCAATTCCGGGTTTCACCCCACCTTAGATCAGGTAAGAGGTTATGCTTCTCCTCTCAATCCATTTGCTGAACAAGTTAAAGCAAAAGTTGAAAGGATAGTTGAGAGGTTGAAATCTATAATAGAGTATAAAGATGTTCTTGGTCTTAAGGAAAGTGGTTTAGGTAAATCACTGACACTCTCGTTAGCATCAGCTACAACTTCTTTGGTAGAGAAACAGAGTGTATGGTAGAAATGCTGATAGGGAGAAGATTATTAATTTTCTGTTATCTGACAATTCCAATGAAGAAAGGGTGCCTGTGGTTGCTATTGTTGGGATGGGAGGGGTAGGTAAGACGACTCTTGCTCAGATTTTGTACAATGATGCGCAGGTGAGGAATCATTTTCAATCAAGAGCATGGACCTCTGTCTCGGAGACATCGGATGTGTATGAAATGACCAAAACAGTTTTTCACTCTCACTTTGTGGTATTCTAATATCAGACTTGAATGTACTCCAAATCAATCTCGAAGATAGACTGACAAGACGAAGGTTTCTACTTGTTTTGGATGGATTTTGGAATGAGAATTTTCTTGATTGGGACATCTTCCAAAAGCTCTTTCTGTCAGGAAACTGTGGAAGTAGAATTAGTCACCACACGTAGTCAAAGTGTGGCATCGGCAGTTTGTGCTGATTTAACTTATTCCCTCTCGCTTCTATCTTATGAAGATACCTGGAAGTTATTCTCAAGTCATGCATTCAAATCAGGAAACCTGGATCAGCATCCGGTGTTGGCACAAATTGGCCAAAAAATAGTAAATAAGTGCAATGGTCTCCCTCTGGCTGCAAAAACACTAGGGAGTCTCCTGCGTGGTAAAGAGGATGCAGAGGAGTGGAAAGTACATCTAATAGTAGGATATGGGAGTTACCAAGCAATAAGAGTAGCATCCTTCCTTCCTTAAGATTGAGTTACAGTCACTTACCTTCTCATTAAAAGTGATGCTTTGCTTATTGTTGCATATTTCCTAAAGGTTATGAGATAAAAAAGTGGAAATTAATCTGTTTGTGGATGGCTGAAGGTATTCTGCCACAGATAAAAACAAAGAAGCGAATGGAAGATGTAGGAAATGAATGCTTTCAAGAGTTACTATCAAGGTCATTCTTTAATCGGTCGACCTACAACAATGTATCATGTTTTATGATGCATGACCTTATCAATGATCTTGCCCAGTGTGTTGCACGCGAATTCTGTTACAGGCTAGATGATGATAATCCAAGCAAAATCACTACGAGTGTTTGCCACTTATCATATGTGCAAGGCATAAATGATGAACCTGAGAAATTTGAAATCCTCTCTGAATTCCAGCAACTGAGAACCTTCCTACCATTCAGATTCTTAGACTTTGGTTACTCCTCTTCATTTACTAGCATGGTTTCCTTTCTGTTACCTAAACTGAAATGCCTGCATGTGCTGTCTTTGTCCCATTATCCTATTACCAAGTTGCCAGATTCAGTTGGAAACTTAATGCATCTGCGGTACTTGGATCTTGCTTACACTGCAATTGAGTGTCTACCTGATTCTGCAGCACTTTGTATAACTTGGAGACACTTGTTGTCAGGTTGTCGCCATCTCTCCATGTTACCAACTAACATGTTCAACCTTGTCAACTTGCGCCATCTTGATATTAGTGGAAGCAGTTTGACAGAGATGCCAGCCAAATTTGGTAGGCTAAAATCTCTCCAAGTGCTGACTAGTTTTGTTGTTGGTAGTGATGGGGGAGTGAAAGTTAGTGAGTTGGGAGAGCTTTTGGAACTTCATGGAGCACTTTTGGTTGTGAACCTGCAGAATGTAGTAGCAAGAGAAGCATTCAAGGCAAGGTTGAGGAGTAAAAAATATCTTCACGAGCTAGAATTCAAGTGGACTACTACAACTCATAATGTACAAAGTGAAACTGATATACTCGATATGCTAGAGCCACATCAAAATGTGAAGAGACTCAAAATTCAAAATTTTGGTGGTAATAAGTTACCAAATTGGTTAGGGAGCTCTTCATTCTCAAGTATGGTGTTTCTACATCTTGCTGACTGCCCAAGTTGTGTTTCACTGCCATCACTTGGAGAACTGCCTTCCCTCAAAGAACTCTATATAGCAAAGCTGATAAGCCTACAGAAGTTGGGTCCTCGATTCTATGGGAATGTAGTAGAGCCATTCAGATTCTTGAAAATCATGAAGTTTGAGGACATGCCCAACTGGGAACAGTCACGGTGTACAAAGAAAATACTTGTCATCATGGTACATAAAGAAAAATAGACCAGTTAGGTTACCCATATTTTTAATATTAGAATTCAATTCCTTTAATAATTTATAGTGCGTATTTTGTGAATGTAAAATTTCAAGCAAGGTCTTCGATCCTTTCCCTATTTATGGCACATGTCCTATGCCTTTGTTCTACACTTCTATGTTATTTGCTAACGGCTAGGTGTGTGCATGGACAAGTAACTTATATGATAACAATAATCTATTGATTGCTCATTTGAATTTATAACAACATTAACGTTTCAGCTATACTAGTTTGAGTTTCAGTATATGTGTGTGTGACGAATTCAAGTAATCAGTCCTAGGTCTGGTAATTACTTTAAAATGATGAAATATACTTCTTTCTCCAGACAGAATAAAGATTAAACTGGTGGTAACAATGTCTTTCCATCATTTGCAACCTTGTCTCATGTTACTCAGGTAATAAAATCACATTGAAATTGATAAGTAATCTAACAAAAAGAAACATGACCAAACAAACAAAAAGGTGATCAATCATTTCCAAATTTTGAGAGCAAACTTCAGAACTGCAACTCTAAGAAATTTCTATGAAACAAAATAAATTGTTGCTCATCCTTTTCAGAATGAATTCCAAGTCTAACTATTAAATTCACCCAAAGTTGACATACATAGCAATTACTATTGTTGCAGCAGGAACATGGTATAATATATTAAAATAAGATGTATCACCAAAAAAAGAAAAATATCAGCATAGCATCTGTCCTATGTATCAATATCTGATGTCTCACAAGTTGAGACTTCTTCGCCATCGATTGTTACTTCAGGGATGCACCAATATTTGTCTTTCTTTGTTGAGAGTTTAGCCTTCAGTACAGGGCATTCATTGATGTGAAGAGAATTTAGGGAAGAAGGCAGACCCTTGAAAGTTTGGAGCTTGCTACATCTATCAATTTCAAGATTTTTCAGATTAGTTAGGTGTTGAAGCCCCTTGTAGTCCAGAATTTTTATATCTACCAAAGAACTTAAGCACAGACGTTCAAGACTACTGGGCAATAACCCTTCATCAGGAAATGACTCTAGACCAATGCATCCACCTATAATCTCAAGGTCAACTAGAGCATGAAGACTGTGTAATCTCCATTCTTTTGTGGGTGTAAGTTTATCGCATGAAACAATGGAAAGTGAATCAACACTGGAAAGCAAACTACTGTGGGCAGGGAAAAACTCAAGGTTTGGACATTTCTGTAACCTTAACTGCACACGATGAGTGAGAAAATTCATGAAGTTTGGCAATTTATGGAGACTTTGGCAATTGATAAACCAAAGTGAAGACAATTTTGGAGTTAACAGCACAGTGGAAAATGACATTAGATTGGGACACTCATGAATATGCAAAGATTCAAGTGCAGAGAGGAACACTGGAAACCTAGAAACAGAGATAGATACTAGACTGGGACAATTGTATAGATAGAGACACTTAAGCCTAGGAAACAAGTCTGCAGACAAACAGGTAAGAGAATTACAGCTCCTATCTATTGTCAACTTCTGCAGCAACGCAAAATTATGAACAGGAAATTCCACGTTTGGACAACCATGAATATGAAGAGTACTTAAAAAGTTTGAGCACCGCTCACTACATGGATATTTGAAATTATGACAATTAATTATAGTGAACTCTTGAAGAGCTGAGAATGCGTCAGGTAAATATTCTACTAGCTCAGATCCTACAAGTGTAAGACTGTACAGCTGACTTGACCATGGCAGGAGCAATGCAAGATCAGAATACTTTGACACTGTAAATTCATATTCTGGTTCTAGCAGACTAGTAAAATCTTCACTGGCTTTGGACGAAGTAAACAAAGGAGTTGGTGCAATCCCAAGCAACGATGAGATGCTCAGAATTCTCACTCTATTTGATAAGATTTCTGGCTGACCATTCATGGTTGGACTCAGCAAAGAGGGTGAGTAAATTTGAAACGGTTCAACTGGTGCTATTTGGCCAGTCCATCTAGTTCTGCACATAAACTGTCGGAAAAGTTGGATTAATCCGACCGGTTTCGAAGAATCCCTCCGCCCTGTTTCAACACTCGCCATCTCCTTTTGGTTCTAGAAATAGAAAGAAAAAGCAAAATGTTTATATGAACTATAAATTTTTAATTTTTATAAATGAAAAACAAAAGAGTGCCGAGGAGTTCTTAAGAGAAAAAAAAAAAGTAATATGTAATAAAATATTTTTATTAACTTCCTTTTTTAAAATAAAATTTTTAAAAAGTTTAATTTAATCATTACCAGCCTGCTGCCTATTACTAACCTCGTTAATCCTTAGAGAATGAAAAAACAAAAATAAAAGATGAGATTTATATATTATTCTAAGCATTTGATTTATTAAAGCACCTTCGCGCGTATAATCATGATTATAATTATATTTAAACTATTCTTCAACAGTCCACTCAACAGTTAATCTAATACACCCAGAGACACACTCACATGTATAAAAAAAATATAGGAAATTAAAAGATGAAGCTAATAAACAGAACAAGAATTACAGAAGCCAAAAATTCAATACCAACATCATATTACATATATTATTTTAAGCATTTGATCTATTAAAGCACCTTCGTGTCAGAGATGAGATTCAGGAGAGCATATAATCATAATTATAATTGTATTTAATCTTGAATGAGAGGGAGAGGGAGAAACCTTATGGTCCACAAAAAGGAGAAGATGTGAATGACACTCGAAAATGTGTGTGTGAACGGTAGTTACAGTGCCTTCCAAGATTCATACGCACACAAGAGCTTTGATTGCAGCAATATTCACAAAACCGATATGCTTGGGTTCTTCACTCTCCACCTCCCTCTGCATAAACCACCTAAGATCTCGACAAATTTAATTACAATGAAAAAACAAAAGAAGAAGAAAAGATTACTGCAAACCTCGCAACATTACTCCGAAATCATGGTCGTGTTGCAACGTTCCTTCTTCAGCTTGGCTTCCTTTCCCGTTGCAAAGTTCGACTCAAGTTGCAGAGATCTACTAGGAATTTAGATTTTGGAGAGTCAGAGACCATGAATTTATGAACTTCGTATCATTACAGAGAATTGGGTATGAGTTTGGATGAGATTTAGGAGTGTTTCCAATGTTAGTGTCAGGGCCAACAGGTATTCTCACGCCTATTCACATGACTTAAATAATTTAATTTAAATACATATAATGTAAGAATATACAAAGTAATAAATTACAATAATAGTGAAAATTTTATTTTTAATATAAAAATTATATTAACGATATATTATTATTTAAAAAAATTATAAATAAATAAAGAATTTAATTTAAATACATACAAAATAATATTATAAAAATATTTCATTAAAATAATATTTTATTTTTTAAAGTTACAAGAAGTATCACATTTAATTTCATAAAAAATTAAAATGTTTGCATGTTAATTTTTTAAATAAATTATAATCAAATAAGAATTTAATTTAAATTCATATAATATAAAAATTATATTCTCATAAAATTATAAATTATAATATTAATATATTTTTTTAATATTAAAATTATATTTATAATAAATTATTTTTTTGTTAAACATTCACATTTTATTAAAGATAAATTTAGAGCAATGGAGGTATTCTAATCAATTACAACTCTAAAGAAAATTAATAATAAATGTTAAAGGATTATTAATCTAATTTACATGTACAATCAAACTTCTAATTATATTATAATGAAACAGTTAAAGAAATATGCATATACTAAATTTCATTTACATATGAACATTGTAATAATTTACAAATTGTTAATTAAAAAGATGTAAGACTAAGAATAAATATTTTTCATAACCAAAATAAACTAAGTCCTAAAAGCAGTCTCTATCCACACCTATACACTAATTATTTCTCGGTAGATATAAAAATTAAGGATGTGATGAATATATCTATTTATAAGAAACTAGAAAGGAACATCATAATTTACATTTATCTTTACAGTCCATATATTATCATCCTCACAATCCATATTAAAGTTAAAATACACACAAAGTTGATATTTCTTAAATTCATAGTTCGGTCTACAACTAACAACATAATCTACTATTCTAATTTGTCTTTGTGGTATCGTCATCTTTGTTCTCTGAAATGTTTAGTAAAGATGAGCATCTATCTTATCATCAAACATAACAAAATTATATTATTGACATTACAACATGCTTGTAATTATAGAATAAAAGGAAACATAACAATATTTAATCATAGAAGCAATATATTAGCAATTCTTATAAAACCATTACATAGTTTATCACACTCTCTTTTCAAATATAAACTCAATGCATTGTGATCACAGACATCCGATGCCTCCAACACTTCTTAGGGTCTTACTTAACTAGGTAGATAGTCACTAATTAACTCATGCACACGGATACAATGTATATAATAACGGGTCCCTTAGCAAAGGTATAGTTAGGAGTCTAGTTAGGAAACGAGTGTGAGGCCATGTGGCGTATTCGCTCTCAGAAAGAGTGTGTACACATACGGGAATGTCACTCACCACCTTATATTTCTTCCAAATTTTTCATTGTCTCCAAACTCTATACTGTTAGTGTATCTTTGTAACTATTCACACAAAGATCCATTCAGATATTTATACTCATCCCGTAATCTTTTTCGAAAACACGTATAATATCAATATAGTACTAACACCTAAGATTATCCAAACATGCTTCAATAATCTTTCACTACAATCTAATATCATTCAATCATGTAATTACATAAAATAAAACATACAAAAGTACTCTCATGAGTATGAAATATTCACTATAGTTAAAATGACAAAATAAAGGCCTCCTTACCTCAAAGTGAAGTTTTGAAAAAAAAGTCTTTCGAAGTTTTGGTGAAAGAATCAAGCTCTTCCTAGGAATCACAAAAGAGAGCATTTTGAAAAAAAAAAAAAAGAAATAGAGAAAAATAACAAAAATGGGAGAACTAAGCTCTATGAACTTACTTGGAGTTGATCGATTGAACTTCCAAGCCCAAATTTGAAGGAAGATTGAAGTTTAAGGGACGTTTTTTGAGAACTGAAGGTGAGAGATAAGAGAAAACAGAGGAGATGTGGAAACTTGGATTGTAATCCAAGTTTTCTAGGTTGAAAACCCTTAAATATCCCTTAACTCGCGACATTATCGCTATAACAAGAGATTTTTGTTACAGTGAGAGATTTGAGCGAGCCCTTCTCTTACTGCAGCAAAAAAAAAAAAAAAGACAACATTTTCCCTTTGTTGTTTGTTATTCTAGCCATAGCGAGAGCTCCTCGCTATAGCGAGAGAATTCTGACTACAACGAGAATACTTTTGGGTCATCCTTATCCACTTCTCGTTATAGCGAGAGAGCGTCAGAGAGCCTGATTTTAAATGTAACACCTTAATTTAATTTTTTCAAATAATTAATTTTCGCAAAATTTTGGGAATAATAAAAACTTTCATTTAAACGGTTCCCAATACATGGTTCAATAAAGTATTTCAAATGAAGGAGGGTTACAAGTTTGCATCAAATAAATCCTACAGGACCAAATTAAATACATTAAATTTCAAAAATCAGTTTCCTAAGTCCTATAGCAGTTTCATCCCTCCATTCACTGAGTTCGGTGTTGATCGTCTTGGTCACCTGAAAAATAAACGTAATGGTGAGTACTTTACACTATCACACACAAATACAGAGACTCACATTGCCTACTCCAATCATTATATAATACAATTTGGATCATTATCGCAATCACACACACATCAAGTACATATCAATCATTACACGTGTACACTCACTGTACACAGAAGTAAATCACATCAATTTACTCATGCGTGCGCTCATTGCACCACCAAACAATCCATACACACGTGCGCTCACTGCATGTTAGTCATGCTCACTGTAACGTTGTGATCACAGATTCCTGATGCCCTTAACCTCAGGGACTTACTCATTTTCACACTATGGATGGTCGCCGGATAACTCCCGCCTCACGGATACAACGTGTGCAGTCACGAGCCCCTTGGCAAAGGTGTTAGTCAGAGGCCAAGTCAGGAGGAGGGTGTGTGGCCTGTGGTGCACCCACGCTCACTGTTGGGTTCACTACCACCCTCTCTTCTCCAAGGTATTTCTACCGCCCCTATCTTCTACATCTCCAGTGTATCGTTGAACCATTCATAGGTTTCCACATATTCAAACACAATCACATTCAATATCAACATGCCATTTTCACACGCATTTATTCACATTTCAATCATGGTATTCATATTCGTTTTCATCAATGGCACATCCACACATTCCAACCACAAGATAATCAATCATTTTACCACACATTGCACCCAATGTCAATCACATTGCATTCTACACCAAGTTCACATTACAAACAATCATAATCAAATCATGCCATCGTACACATCATCCAATCGCTACCAAATCATATTCCATACGAGATTTCTATCACAATGCAATGACAACCAAGTCATTCTCATTAAATATACATCTTCCTACATTCTATCTTAACCACATTACATTACTTATCAATATAAACCGATTTAAAAACACAAAGAGATAGGGTAGAGTCCCCCTGTAACACCTTAAATTTAAATTCAATTAAATAGTAATTTCCCAAATCGGATAATCAGATTTTCATAAAGATTTTGAAATAAGTGAAGGGTTACAAATTAATATCACATAACTACTACAAGATTAGTTCAATTACACAAATTTCAAAATAAAATCTAAATCCTACAGTAGTTCATCCATCCCTTCACTGAGTCCGGTGCTGATCGTCTTGATTACCTGGAAAATGAATGTAAGGGTGAGTACTCTACACTACCAAAACATACAATTAAGCATAGAGTCTCACCTCCAGTACATTTCCAATACATTAAACAAATACAGGCACAGGCAACATTATCACATCTACAAGCACAAATCATGAACCCATGCATACGCACACCAACCACCCTCACATTGACACTGTGATCACAGATTCTCACCATGAATGGTCGCCGGTTACTCCCGCCTCACGGATACCACGTGGGCAGTCACGGGTCGCTCAACAAAGGTAATGGT